GAGTGCTCTATATAACCCACCACTCATTTGTCTAAAGTTTTAAAGGAACTCTTTATGTTGTACATAAAGCTAAAAAGTAGTGGTAGAATGGTTCTCAAAAAGTACTATATAGAGATAGGAGTGTGTCTGTCTATGTGTATAGATGGGGCTCAGTACTATATTAAGAGAAAGTGTTTGGGGAAAGGGATGTGAGAATATAGCCTGTTCACCTCCTTTAGCCTCCTTATTTGTCCATGAAACCTCTCAACTAACTTTGACCTAAATCAGGGTTTCTCAAACCCTGCAATATTGACATTTTAGGCTGGCTGATACTTTGGGGGGCGGGGGTGTCCTTTGCATTGTACGATGTTTAGCAGCATCTTTAGGCTCTACCCACTAAGTACCTCTGCATTCCCCAGTCGTCATGACAACAAAAATTGTCTCCAGGCATTGCCAAATGTCTGTCCCCTGGGAGCCAAATTTGCCTGGGTGCAAACCACTGGCCTAAGTCATGCCTCTTTGTTGTGTAAAGACTCCCAGACTTTGCTCAGATGCATCAGATAAAAAGAGGAGACAAAAATACGCTTTTTCTTCATTCTCCATTTTAGGAGAAATCAGAGCCAATCCCATCACCCATCTGCAGGAACTCCTGGTAGTACTAAGCCCCATCTATTGCAAAGGACTTAGGATAGAAATGGGAATATGGAGGAACTACTAACCTTCTTGAATTCATCCTGTGGCTACAAAAAGAAGGTGTGTGAAATAAGCAAATGTGTTACTTGCCCGCAATTTTCACAACACTGCCCTGTAGCAGTGTTTTTCAGACATTTTAGTTGAGATATTTAAGTTCTCTGGGAAAGCTGGGGTGTGAGCAGAAAATCTCAGCCTAGTCTGAAAAGCACTTCTTTGAAGCACTATGAGAGATTGGCCCCATCAGGAAACTTGTAAGTTTATTAAAAATTATCAAAAGCAGTAGAACTGTGGTTGAGTCATGCTATAAAGGATGTCTTCCCTTCAGGGAACTTCTGCAACATTCCTCTTCCCTACCCTAACAAAATTGCCATCCACCTTCTTGAGTCAGTCTCTTGTCAAACTGGTACCCAAAGAGAAACGGGGCCTTGTGCCAAGTAACCTGTAAATCTACAAGATAAACACATCTTCATGCAGCAGTTTTACTTGATAAGTAGAGCAGTTTTATGGTAATACAAGCCTAAGTGTTACAGAGTAAAGGACACATTTTAAAGATAAAACCAGATTTTTGAGGCAGGCTATTTTATGGAAACATTCCTGCAGGAGTTGGAGAGTTTGAGAAGCAATGATGAAATACTCTTAAGTGAGCCTGTTCTACTTTGCAGAATAGCTTTAGTTGTTACCAAGTCTTTTCTTAATACTGAACAAAAGGCACTGCTCTTAAATGACCATCTTTATAAATAAACTTTTTTGTTATTCCTAGTTAGCAGAAGAGGCAGATCTGCATTTATCAGTTGCCTTCCTCAACGTGGACACCCTATGTATTTCAGCCATCTGCGTATGAAGTCGTTCCTGGAACTGGTTCCTGTCACATCATGCATTGCATTCCAAAGACCCCAAGAATAGAGGGTGATGTGACTAGTTTCTGGGTAAAATGGAACAGGAACATTCTATTACCTGGACACTTAATTCTATTAATGTGGAGGAGAGTTTAATTATTCTACCAGCTCATCATAATTAGACTTGTGATCAAGTAACAGCCTCAGCTCCCCTTGTCATCAGCTCTCTTGACTCAGTAGTTAGGCATTTACACTTTCAAACCTAAATATAAGAATTTATAAATGCCATATTACTGATTTCAGCCCAGTTTTCCTCATAATAAGATCAGATTCTGTTTATATCTATCCTTTCCTTGTCTTCAATCATGTAGAAAGCACCATGGTGAGTTAAAGGGAGTGAAAGAAAGCAAGTACAGGGGGAGCACCTGGGTGGCTCAGTCAGTTAAGTGTCTTCCTCCGGCTCGGGTCATGGTTCCGGGGTCCTGGGATCGAGACCCGAGTCGGGCTCTCCGCTCAGCAGGGAGTCTGCTTCTCCCTCTCCCTCTGCTGCTCCCCCTGCTTGTGCTCTCTCTCTCTCTCTCTCTCTCTCTGTCTCTGTTAAATAAATAAATAAATAAATCTTTTTAAAAAAAAGTATAACTAGAGCAAGAATAATGACGGGGAGCAGGATTACGAGGGACATGGGAGGGGCTAAAGAGATTGGTAGGGGCCAGGCCCCACAGCTGCTAAGTCAGTCTAAGAGCAATGGGAAATCATTACTCATCATTCTACAAGAGGAATGATAGAAGAATCATGTGTAATAATCACTGGCTGATAAGGTAAGGACAGGAAATGTACTTGGGGTTAATGATGTCTAGAGGTCACATTAGTGAGTGAAGCACTGAGGCAAGAGATGGTGAACAGCTTGGTCCATGAAGTAGATGGGATCAAGAGATACTTGGCAGCTAAAATAGAAGTTGGTGATGCCTTAGATCCGGAGTTTGAGGAGAGGGAAATACCGAGGATGACTTACAGGTTTCTGGGTTGCAGTAACTGATGAGTGGAAGTAGCACAAGACAGGGAACACTGGGAAAGACTCAGATGTAGGGAAGAGAAGGTGATGAGTTCAGTTTGGGTTGTGTTGAGACATCTAATGACTGTCAAGTAGGGCACTTGGAAATACTGGTCTGGAGGTCAGAGGAGAGAGCTGAGCTAGAGATTTGAATTCTCTGCCTGTTTTGGTGGTTATTAATGCAGGGGGTGAGCATGAAACTACCTGGGTCCAGCATTTGGAGTGAGAACAGGGCTTAGGACAGCGTTGTGGAGTTCCAGCACTGAATGGGTATGTAGTGGAGGATGAACTTGCAAAGGGAGCAGAAGGTATAGATAGGGAGGTCAAAAGTAAATGCTGTGTGTTTCCTCAGCAAATGGAGGGAAAAGAGATTCCAGTGCCCAGTGATGCTGTTGAGAAGTCAAGTAAAGTGAGGGCAGGAAATGTCCTTTGGGGACATCACCAGTCACCATAGTGAGAGCTGTATCACTGAGACGAGGGTGGAAACTAGAGTAGGAAGGACTGAGGAGCAGGGACACAATATGGAGACATTGAATCTAATTAGGTTTTTATTTTGCTCCAAAAGGGAGGGCAGGGTCACTAAAGGGTGATATAGGGAAATTGGTGGGGGAAATCCCATTGAGAAAGATGTTGACTATACATGAGAAGAGTGATGATCAGTTTTCTAAGTGACAGGAGAGAATCCAAAGCATAGGTGGCAAGATTTGGATATACTCACTTCTTCAGTCAGCACTTACTTACCTGAGCAACTAGTATATGCCAAACTCCGTAACAGGTGCCACAGATAGAGCAGTCAACAAGCCAAACACAATCCCTGGCCATGTGGAACTTTTACTCTAGTGGCAAGAGACTAGCAATAGATGCGTAAATAAGTAACATAATTTATCTGGTGTTAAATGCTGTATAAAATATTACATAGGGAGTAACCAGGATAGAAAGCTTTTGAAATTGTGCTCAGTGCCAGAAATCATATTTTTAAATTGTGGTAAAATACACACAAAATTTGCCATCTTAACCATTTTTAAGCGAACAGTTCAGTAGTGTTAAGTAATATTCACATTGTTGTGCAACCATACTCCATGACTTTTTCATCTCACAAAATTGAAACTCTATAGCCATTAAACAACTCCTCTTTTCACCCTCTCCAGAGCCCCTGGCCACTTCCATTCTATTTTCTGTCCTAGGAATATGCTTACTTTAGATACCACATATAAATGAAATCATACCACTATTTCTTTTTGTGACTGGCTCATCTCAGCATAATGTCCTCAAGGTTTATCCATGTTGTAGCATGTGACAGGATATCTTTCCTGTTTATGGCTGAATAATATTCATTGTATGTATATACCACCTTTTTTTTAATAATTTTTTTATTGTTATGTTAACCATGTATATACCACCTTTTAAAACAACGAATAATTTTTTAGCGCAAGTACCCTAGTGATACTTAAATATAAGTATTTAAAAATTCCTTTTTTTTTTTTTTAATTTGAAGCTCAAGTTTATCTGGGCATCCTGTATTTTATCTGGCTATCCAAAAGTGAAAACACAGGCTTGGTCAATGAGGGTTACAATCTTTTTAAACTCTGACTCCTTTCTCCAGTGCTAAGTCTCTAAGTAACGGAGGCCTAAGGAAGGGAATGAGGAGAAGGTTAAAAGCAAACAAGATGCTAGCAAAAGCCGAGAGAAAACGTTAACGCATGATCGGGACAAATTGGCTCTTCATTAGGGGAGAGCTATATTTGCCTACTAACACGTCAGCGTGCAGGGTCAGAAAGCAAAGGTCTCGTGGGTTCTGGCTTCCGTTGTCACTGAGTCCGCAGGCAAGTTACGTTGAGGCTGTTTTCATATTTGTAAACTAGGAAAACATTGACTTCCTAGGGTTGTTGTGACTTGGATAGGATAACGTTCAAAGAATCCAGCGTCAAGCCAGTACGACCTATTGCTCCTCTCCCCCGTACTTTTGCTGCTTCTGTGGATTTTTAAAGAAATAGGGTCAGAGTAAGACACCAGGGCTTTAAAAAGCCTGCTGGTGGCTGACAATTCCCCTGGCCCTCACCTCTCCTGCAAGACTTGGAAGGGCTTAACTAGAACATTTTGTTCCTAAAATTCTTCCCGGTCTATTGGCAAAATTTCTACCATATGGACTTGGCTTAGTCGCTTAAGGTTTTGAACCTTGCTGAAAATCAAAGCGCATCAGAAGGTGTGGCTACTACCAGTCTTTTGGGCTTGGTCTGGGAACAGGCCCGGGCCAGGCACTAGGCGGGTGCGTGAGCAAGATCCCGACTCTCGTGAAAGCCTCCAGGCTCGGCTGGCTGGCCCTGAGGCGAAGCGGGAAGCGAAGCGTCTCACCCGCCCGCGGCGCCGAGCAGCCCCGCCCCGGCCCGGCGGCCCCGCCCCACCGCTTCTCCGCCGGCTCCCCTGTCCAGGGCCCCCGGCCGCCCGCCGCATGGGCGCGGGCTGGGAGCTGGGGGCGGCGGCCGGCCGCTCGCTGCTGCTGTGCGCCGCGCTGCTGCTCGCAGGCTGCGCGCTGGGCCTGCGCCTGGGCCGCGGCCGGGGGTCGGCGGACCGCGGGGTGCTCGCCTGGCTCTGCTACGACGCCCTGGTGCATTTCGCCCTGGTAAGTGCGGGCGCCGCCGCTCTCGGGACCCTCCCCTCCCTGGTCGCGGGGTGTTCCCGGAAAAGGACCGGGACCAGCCGGCCGCCCCACGCCCTGCCGCGGGCGGGCGGTCTGCGGAGACCGGGAGGGTCCTGGAGGCCGCGGTGCTGCCCCTCTCGGTCCCCTCGTGTAGAAAGAGCGCGTACCTTCCTGGGGGTGCCAGTTCCTCTGCCACATTAAAAACGAACAAACAAAAAAACCCTCTGAAATGGTTATTTCTGTACTGTGTTATGTTAGTTTGGTTGTAAGCCATCCAGAGGCCTTGGCTTACGTGACCTGCACATAAATGTTGAATGGAAACTAATTGAGAGCGAGAGAGTTCTGGAGTGCCCCAGGGGGAGCAGGGAGAGATGAGTAGGCGCACTGCGCAAAGTCCGAGCGCGGGTACTGAAACAAAACATCCCGCGTGCCCCGAGTAATCACCACGTTTTGGGTAATGACTGTATGCCAGGCACAGCAACGTGTTTACTGTTTCCGATCTTTACAACACCCTGTAATCTACTTATGGTCCCTGTTTTACAGAGGAGAAAACACGCCGTGCAAAGTTAGGTGACTTTACAGGGCCGCGCACCTGGCATGGTTCTGAGTCAACAGAGTCTGGCTCCAAAGCTTGCACTCTTTGAATCATAACCGGCTTTGGGAACCGTGTCCCTAAAAATTCAACCCACTTTATAAATAACCAGGAGGTTAGTATTTAAGGGAATTCTGTTGAAATGCCCCCCTCCTCCATGCACACACGTTTTTTAAAGTTTGTGAGTTTTTTAAAGATTTTATTTATTTGACAGAGAGAGCACAAGGAGGGGAAGCAGCAGAGGGAGAGGGAGAAGCAGACCCCCCCCCCAGCAAGGAGCCCCATATGGGACTCGATCCCAGGACCCTGAGATCATGACATGAGCCAAAGGCAGTCGCTTAACAGACTGAGCCCCTAAAGGCTTTTGTTGTTGTTGTTGTTAATAACTATGCCAAAATAGCTTTTTTGCAAATTTGATCTTGCTTCGATCTGTGGTTGATGTGAAGCCAAAGTCAATAGTATTGAGAAAGAAGGAGAAAACAAAGTTATAGTAATCACTTAGGTCTCTAAATGTTGATCAGTTGGATATGTGCACATACCAGGTGTTGCTGGGATGTGAAATTCTTTCTTCCCTAAAAACTTACATGTGGAAATAAGAAATAGTGACTAGGTCCTTCAACCTGATTTTTTAAGCTGTCATTGGACACAGGTCTCCCGAAGAACAGGGGCAGTAAAATAAGTGGCTAGCCCTCTTAAAGAAAATGTAGTATAACATATTTCAGACGTACAAAAATGTATAATGAGACTAAAACATATACCCATATGCCCACCTCCTAGTTTAAGAAAATTAAATCTGCTTTTCAAGCACAACTGTTACAGGTAATATCACACACATTTCCATTTGTGGCACCTTGAGGTGTAAGCCGATGCATGCATGCAGTCATTGCTCCTGTCTCCGCCCACCCCCTGTTCTGAAGGAAATATCCCTCCCACAGCCCTATTTTACCTGTCCCAGATGCAGAAGAGTCCACTGTATGAGCGCACCATACCTTAGTTTTTTTAATTCTAAAAAGCACATTTTTTTTCACATATTGGAACAATCAGTGACATAAAACCACTGTGGGCTATTTTATTGATATTTATATCTGCGAATTTGGGATGTATCTTATAACTGTTGATGAAATATAACTTAGCCAGCTTATATTAGTAGGTATGTTTTTATTTTGCTGTTTACACACCATACTTCAGCCAGCATCTTTGTACACATATCTTAGAGACTGGTGAGGAGGGCGCTCGAATGAAGCTTAAAGCCTGCAAGAAAAACACGTGTCCTCGGGATCTTTGGCTGGGATTTTACCCAGCCAAATACCCAGAAATGTGGCATAGGCAAAGACTGGGAAAGAAAGCCCCTCCCGGAGAACTGGAACTGTGACTCGCTTGTTCACGCTGGAACCTGAGCTGCCTCTTCTTACTCCTTTAAACTTCTCAGAAGGGAGGAGACATTGGGATGCGTTGGCCACCATCAAATGCAGAACTCCTAGCTGGACAGTGTATCCAGCCAAGCATTCCCAGAGGCACTTCGGCTCCCCGATGTCCAACCAGCATGTGGTTTGGTTGGTTGTGGCCAGGGTGAAGGACACGCTGATTTCCCACCAGTGCACCTGGAAGGAGTTCTGGCAACATACATAGAGAAATCAGTGGTTTGGTTCACCGTTCCTCAAAGATGGCCGTGGCATTTTGTGCACGGGTGCTTCATGGTTTTTCCCCCTCATCTGCAATCTAAGTAGAGCATTCCAGGCATGGCCAGTGCAGGGAGGCAGGATATGGATGTCTGTGTTTTGGGACGCATCTCCTGATTGACTAGAGCACAGGGTCTACCTAGGGAAGAAGTGAGGACAGGCCAGAAAGGCACTTGAACGACAAGTAAGACCTTGAATTTCCTTCTGTAATAGGAAGCTGTTGAAGAAAGATCTCAGGCAAGGAAATAGCATGGTCAAAGCAGATCTTTCCAAAATAATTCAGTGGTATTGTGCTAAGTCAGGAATTGTAAAGGGCCTGAGATTGTACCCTTCTTACAAATTAACAAGTTAGCCTGGTTGATTCCCCCAAGTGCCACAGGGCAGCACAGTGAGGGCCCGCTGGTACCTGCACATGCAATGGGGGCATTTACCGGCAAGGAACTGCAAAATTAGGCTCCTGTCTTATCTGGAGTTGCTGGTGACCTGCTCATCCTTCTTGAGAGAGTCCTTATCTTTACTCAAGAATGTAAACAAATTTTCTCTGGGAAGGAAAGACAGGTCTTTATCTTTACTACTCTGGAACATCTCAGGAGGGAGAAATCTCTTTAAGCTTTACTACCTTGGAGTGTCTTCTTATATAAAGATTCTTCATTTGGTGTAAATGCCTGTGCTCAGACCCCTCAGATGGTGCAGGAATGCGAGGGGTACATGGAGAATTCTCTCCCAGCACAGTGGATGGTGGATTGGAAAGGAGAGTGAAGGGGCAAAAAGATCAGCCAAAAAGCAAGTGCAGTATTTGGGCAGTGAGATGAAAGAGAGCTGAGCTAAGGTGAAATTGGAAGTTAAAATGGGGAAGAAAGCTAAATCCAACAGCCCTTCCAGGGGAGAATGTTGTTAAGTCAAAGTGACGGCTGGTACGTTGTGGGTGGAGATGATGTGGATACTGTTGACAATGTTAATGAAGACAGGAAGGTCAGATTTTAGAACTATGCGTCTGGGGTTCTGGTGTGTAGTTGAGGGGAAATGGCCAGAAGGCAGTCGAAACTGTAAGACAAGCTGGAGAGACAGATTCAGGGCAGAGTGGAGGGAGTTGGACGTTTTTACTGCGTTGGAGGAGACAGCAGGAAGCTCTGGGAGTGAGCAGTTTCTGAGCAAGAGAGAACAGAAAGGTGAAAATGCTGAGGAATGAGAACAGAATCTTTAAAAATGTCTAAAAATGTGTATATATTGAACAGGCAGGAAGGGGAGACAGTGGGCCGGACCAAGAAGCAGGATAGTGCTGGGTCCTGGGACCCAAGGGAAGCAATGACAAGATCACTGTTAACTGCTGCAGCACCATTTAAAAGTAAAAAAATGTGAGTGCTGAGCCGGAGCCTCTGCGTCCAGTGATTAAGCGTCTGCCTTCTGCTCAGGTCGTGATCTCAGGGTCCTGGGGTCGAGTCCTGCTTCGGGCTCCCTGCTCAGAGGGGAGACTGATTCTCCCTCTGCCCCCACCCTGCTCTGTGCTTGCCCCCGCACTCGCTCGCTCTCTGTCTCTCAAATAGATAAATAAAATCTTAAAAATAAATAAATAAATCATTGGTAAGGGTGCCTAGCTGGCTCAGTTGGTGGAGTATGCAACTTTTGATCTCAGGGCCCCATGTTGGGTATAAAGTTTACCCCAAAAAATAAAAAAGTCATTGGTAAAAGTATTGTTTGAGAAGCTAAGGACTTAGCAAGTAGGGTAGAAAAAGAATGGAGGCAGCATATGAAAGACTTTTAGAGATTTGGTGGTGGGAGGAAGAGGAGTGTAGGAAGGTAGCTCAAAGACGTAGAAGAAGCAGGCAAGGACTTTGGGTTCTGTCTGAGATGGGAAGGTCTGGGAGCATCTGTGAGCAAGAGCATCATCAAGGGAAAAGTGAAGAGGCAGAGAAGTCAGCTATGCAGCACTTACTGTCTGGTGCTGTACCTGGCTGCGTGAATTAACCTACCACAGAGCTGAATCTGCCTGAATCTACTCCTTGTCCTCAGATCAAACCCCTCTGATTGACTTGTTCCTCGCACACTTCCTTCATTGAGAGCATGACTTAGGCTTGTCCTTCAGGATGAAGGACAGTTGTCATGGAAAACTCGGGCTTCACCTGTCCCCATTCATCCTACCTTAACACCCATGGGTCTTCCTTGAAGAAGTCCCGAGTCCCAGTGGCTGCTCAAGTCCCTATTAATTTGTGTATTTTGGACATTACCCTTTTCCATTTAGCATCACCATCTGTTCTCACCTTCCACGACAATAACTTCAGCCTCCGACTCTCAGGATTCTAAAAATTTCTTCCTCCTCCTACTTGCTTTATCATTAGGTCTCAAGTTGCCTTTTAGTGCACAGTCTGTTACTGTCTCCTGTTTTCCCTTTCCTTTTTTGGCATTGTCTTTTTTGTTGGTTTTGCTGTAAAATAGATCTCCTCTCCGGTAAATGCATTTATAGCCTTCATGCTACTTGGCAGGCCTGGTGAATCACAGTTGGTTTCGCTATCTATTAATGGTAAAGCTTTGTGATGGTTAATTGTCTGTGTCAACTTGACTGAGCCATGGAATGTCTAGTTATTTGCCCACATGTTATTCTGAGTGTTCTGTGAGGGTGTTTTGGATAAGATTGACATTTAAGGGGTGCCTTGCTGGCTCAGGTGGTAGAGCATGTGACTCTTGATTTCAGGGTATTAAGTTCAAGCCCCGTG